TATATATATATATATATATATATATATATAAACCAAATGGATTTTCCTGATTAAAAAAGGTGCAAGTGCACTGAATGCACCTTGGGAAACTACATGCTGTTTACTTCAACATTTTTTTCTGAATTAGAGAATATCTTCCATTATTGTCTAAGGTTTAAGATTTTCAAATCAGTGTGTTTTAACTTTTTAAAACTCTGTGAATTAGGATTCTGAATACACATATGGTAGGAAGGGAGGGGAGAGAGTCTCTTCAAATTTTTTTTTCTGAGAAGACTAATGAAGAAGTCCCTAAAGAACTTCTGGATGGACTGGAGCTGCCCCTGGACATTTCAGTTGCCAACTTATTCGTGTTGACATGAGGGAGACACTTCCCATTTTATGTCACACTCGAGGTGCAATCATGCCTTTGTTCTCAGCTGATGATCTTCAAGAGGCCTAAGTTAAACTGTTTCTGATTCTTGGAGTGCTCCACCAAAGACGTCCATCAGAACTATCTGAGGAACTTTGAACAAATACCTATCCCCATACCTGGCCTTGGAAAATCCAGTGGAGCAGGTCAAGGGCAGGGCCTGAGAATTTGTGTTTTCTAAAGTTTCCACAGGTGGTTCTTTGCCCACCCTAGTGGAGAAACACTTCCTTGGCCTCACTCACTTGTGTCTTGGTTTACAAAGGACATCAGAAAGCTTTTCCAGCTAATGCCATTTATAAGACAGTGTTTCTATCAGCTTTAATAACTATGATTGTTTTTATATTAGCTAGTAACTACAAATTTATGATATTCTTATGAGAGAGAAGTTGCTTTGTACACTCTGTATGGTGTGAGACCATAGCATAGAAGGATTTAAAAGTACATTTACAGCAATTCCACTCTAAGGCATATACCCCACAGAATTGGAAACAGACGTTCAAACAAAACTTGTACATGAATGTTCATAGCAGCACTATTTACAATAGCCAAACATTGGAAACAACCCAAATATCAATGAACTGATGAATGGATAAACAAAATGTAGTATATTCATACAATGGAATACCATTCAGCCATGAAAAGGAATGAAGTGCTAATACATATACAACGTGGATGAACCTCGAAAATGTTATGCTAAGTGAAGGATGCCAGTCACAAAAAGACCCATAGAGTGTCATTCCATTTATATGAGATGTCCAAAACAGGCAAATCTATAGAGACAGAAAGCATATTAGTTCTTCCCAGGGTCTGGAAAGAAGGCGGAATGGGGAGTAATTGTTTAGAGGGTATAGGGCTTCCATTTGGGGTAATGAAAATGCTCTGGAACTAGATAGTGGTAATGGTTGCAAAACATTGAATGTACTAAGTGCTGTTGGATTGTAAACTTTAAAATGGTTAAAATGATGAATTTGATGTTATGTGAATTTTGCCACAAGTTGTAAACACACACATACACACACACACACACACACAAAGTACACTTAATGACCAAGTTTGTTCATCAACATTCAGGCCTTATTTCAGGCCCACTTCTCTTCTTTTCCTCCTTCAATTCTGAGTTTATTTGATAGTTACCAACAATTTTTAAGTAAAATATAAGCTAAATATAGCCTAAGTGTAAAACGTAAAAGGCATGATAGATATTGGTGATCTTACTAGTGATACCTCATATTTCTCTCCTTTTCTAAACTTCATTTGAGCTTTCAGTGGGTACAATCAAATGTCATTTTTAATCAGTAGTATACTGATGGAGTGATGCTTTTAAAATAAAATCACATCAAAACCTCATTTAAAAATTTCCCTGAGGGAAAATGAGATCTAGCACGAGCTGTCTAGTAGTGGACAAGCAAACTGTTTAGGGCAGAAATTTTTACAATTTTAGAATCCTTCCGTGGCAAATATATCCAGAAACAAATTCCTTGTTTATTTTTATTTTTATTTTCTTTTAACATTTAATTCTTAGCTATAGTGAATGGAGATTATGTTTACCAGTTGAAGTTTCCAGCAGAAGTCTTTAGCTTGTATGACCGCAATGAGATCAAAATGAAATCATAATGGAAGGTTTAAGAAAACAGTTCAGGAACTGTTTGGGTCCTGAAAATTGTGTTCTTCTGAGATCTTTACAGATTGCTCAGTTGGGGATGATCAGAGTGCTTTTAATTTCACATTTTTATAGACATTTAAAGCCAGTGGGTCTTACTTGGGAATAATCAAGAAAATTTGCCTTTACCCAGTGGTTATCAGAAACCACTAAACTAGAGATTTGGTTGCATTTAAATTTCCTTGTGGTGTTTTAAGAGATTTCACATGGATGAAAGCCTAGTAAAGCTCTCTTCTGGAACGTATTTATTTTTAAGAAGGCTCATTCTCAGGGAAGATCAGCATTTTTGTTTTCATCTTTCTTTTTTTTCCTTTTTGTCTTTTTTCGTGACTGGCAACGGATCGCAACCCTCAGTGTCGCGCCCGTACCGGACCGGGACCGGCAACGGGATCGCCACCCTCGGTGTCGCGCCCGCACCTCACTCAGCCAGTGAGCGGCCGGTCCATATGTGGGATCCGAACCCTCGGCGGGAGCGCCACCACGCTCCCAAGCGGCGCACTGTAGCAGTGCGCCACCGGGCCGGCCCTGTTTTCATCTTTCAAAGAAAGCTAAAACCTGGTGGACAACCCTGATGGTTGAAGCTTATTGTGCTACCTCTGACTGCTCGTGGGTAGCCTGGGCCAACCTGGGAAGCAGCACTTCTGTTTTCAGAGGGATTTGAAAAAATTATTTATCCTCTTCTTCATCCCTGGAAGATTATGAGCTAAATGAAGTGATATGCATCAATCAGCAAAGTATTTCTTAGTACATGCCCTTCCCCCACGCATCATACATGGCATCGTTCTAGGCGGTGGAGTTCAGACAGTTTGAAAAGCATATTAATCTGCTTCTAACTTAGGAGGACAAGATCCAGATGTTTCTGGGTTTTCACAACGAGGAAAGAGATACACATCCAGCTTTGAAGAAAGGTCTTTCTTGACCAAAGGAGCCACAGTCCCCATTTTGCCTTCTCTATTGCACAAAGTCAGTGGGAGCCTCTGGCCCAGGAGGCCTGGGATGCACTGAGAACAGAGCACTCAGGTGCTCAGTCCCCAGGGCGGGGGCCATGTAGGGCTGGACCTTGGCACCTCTAAGAAGGAAGACATTCTAAATATCTACAGTGGACATCAGATCGTCAGTGAAGAGATTTTTTTCAAGGATAGCATCATCTAAGTTGAGTACTGGCTTTTTGCCTGGTTGGGGCTTTAGCAGGCATCGGTTGGGAGGTGATGAAAATATCTGCAGTTCACCTGTTCATAAGAGGGCTTGGAAAAGGGCTTAGCTAAAAGTTTCAAGTGTTTCAGGTATAAAACGTGTTTAGCGTTCCAGAGTGTAAAAGAGAGCGGCATTTGATGTACAGGAACCTTTTTTTGTAAGTGTTCTAATATCTTTGTGTATCATATTTTCTTTTCTTTTTGTCATAAACATATAATTTTCATTATAAAAGTAAACATTTTTAATTATGACTCTTACAATAATGCCTAGCATAAGGTGATGACATAAATATTATTGAATAAATAATATATAAAATAAATTCATGGCTATGCCTGTCCTCCTTTGTGTTCCCAGACAATAGCCAGGCAGCTGGCAGAGATCTTGTTGCGGGGTATGTGTGAGCAGAGCTACTGGAACCCTCTGGAGGACCCACCATGCCAGTCACCTCTGGACGATCCTCTCCGGAAAGGAGCAAACACAAAAACCTACACCCTCACCCGGAGAGCCCGCATCTACTCAGGAGAGAAGTATGGAAGTTGATGTCCTCACTTGTAGGTTACCGGATAGGAAGGAAACTTGGGAAAATTCTAGATGAGTAGAAGTACGTGGGTAGATTTTTCCCCTAAAAGAAAATCATGTGAACAAGTCTCATTTACCTATTTAGTAGAGATACCCCATTACTTTTGGACCTACATGAATTAACAAGAAAGGGGAGAGTTGTGGGGAGGCCTAGATAATCCTCAGACTGTGTACCACCTGATGCCTAATAATCTTAATTATTAACTTAACTCTTAATTTTTAACTTAAGTCCTTTTCCTTTCTTGGTACCCTCATCTTCTGCACAAACCTGGTATGGACAGTAGATTCTTTCTTGACATATTTGACATACAGTGTGACTTGGGGGGCGGGGGGGCTCCAGCCATTCTTGGCTTTGATTCTTCAGCTCTTATCTGGCCAGCTGTGGTTCAGTGGCTGTATTTTTCCAGGAATTTCCCTAGTAGTATCCCAGCCAGGCATATTAAAATTATAAAGGCACCATGACTAGACCTTGGAGTTAATGTTGCCATTATTTACAAACCAACTCTCTTGTGAGTTGGCAGTAGTCAAGGCTTTCTCTGCACCTCAGCAGGGTCTTCTTTGACTCCTAATTGTGCCGTTGACCTTTAGACATCCAACTTGTCATTAGTCAGGTAATAGCTAAAGATGACAGAAGAGCTGAAATGCATTGGATAAAGTTGTATTAATTGCTTTCGTATGGTTGCTTCTACCACAATAGTAAAGTTGGAAAATTTTAAGAAAGCTACTATCTGAAGCCCTTGGCAGGATCATGATTACTGTTTATAAATGAGGATTCTCACCCTTGTTCCCTATGTCTTCTATAGAATCAGATAATGAGTTGATAACTTCATCCAAAGTAAGAAAAGTTTAACTAAAGGTCACCAGTGAGTTGGTAGCACGGCTAGGATTAGAATGCAGCCCTCCCATTCTCAGCCCAGTAGCAGCACTGGCACTGCCACCTCCTTTTCCAGCCTGCCAGCTCTTGGGAGCTTGTTCTCACTGCCTGTTGATCCTTGTTTTCTCCCAGTCTCCTTTTATCCCCTACTCTGCCCTTCACATAACTTCCTCTGGGACTAGGGCCCCAGTTTCCCATTCTTCAAGGCTGAGGCCTGAGCACTCCAGCATTCCTCCCTGAGGCTTTTGGACTCCAAAGAAGAGAATGTCACATAAGGAGGGTCCCAACTATTTGACCATCCACCCTGGGCTCCATTCTGCTCTGAGCAAGGAAGGGGGAAGGAATGCCAGGAATGGGCCTGGAGAAGTTGTAATTATTGGGAGGGAGCATTCCAGTTTGTAGTTTTTCAAGCATGTCTCTTTCTCCTGCCCTGCCCCACACTTCTTCCTGCCAGCCCTGGGAGCTTTGCAGCACTCCTGAGCACCCACCTTACCCGCCACAATAAGGAGGGTAGAGGAAGTGGAATTAGAATCAGTTATTGTGCCACACGTTAGCAACTCTGGCAAAAATAACACAAGCTAGCATTTAAGCAGGCTGGATGGCTCAAATGGAATTTGGAGATTGTCCATGGACTGAATTGGCTGGTGTTAAGTCACAGTTAGCATGAGCTCTCTTTCTTTTCAGTTAGCCTGGACAGTGCAGAACTGGCTAGCCACAAAACAATGGATAAGCTACTGCTTTATTTGCAGGATCCCAATTGCATGTAAGCACAAGCCAGGATATCAGGAAATGATTGCTGAATACACACACACATTCCCTCCCTCTCTCCCTCTCTCTCTCTCTCTCTCTCTCTCTCTCTCTCTCTCTCTCACTCTCTCTCCCTCTCCC